GGGGACACAACCCGGTAGTCTCCATTAAAGCTTTCCAAGACTCTGCACGCCAGGGAAGGAAGTGGCTCGTTTTTCCGCGGGAGGTGCCGAAAGGCCGCGTGGAGAGGCGTCGGCGGTGCTCGCGGTGGCCACTGTCACTCAAGCCGCGCGCGGCCCTGATGCGCTGCGCCTTCGCGGCTCCACTACCGCAGCTCTGGCCGCGGACTCCGCTGTGATAAACTCATCAAAATAAAAGCCCTGGGTTCGGTGCTTTGGAGATGAGGCTGGTGTGGTTGCTTTGAGACAGTTTTGGAAAATGTAAACACTTGACTACATTTTCAGTACTGAAGCGTGGAATCAACTGCACAATGGCGTTGGCTGGGCTCTAACTTGCTTAGAGAAATTTCATTACTGTGCCTACCTTTTACAGGAGCGATTTCAGATGGTGTTCTTGGTTGTTACCACTTAGGGTGCACATTTTCTGAAAATTCGCTTATTTAGAAATACAGTTGCTTTATCTCATGTATATTTTGTTTAATACACACTCCTCTTTCCCAGAAAAGAGGAGGAAAACGCTAGGTACTGCTTTCTTGGATGGCATTTCTGCCTTTTTTTTTTTTTTTTTTTTTTTCATCTACACAGGCCAGGCCAGTTGCTTGCTGGCTAATGTAGTCTTATCAGCCTGTATTGACAGAGAGAAACCCACATTTGGTTTATTTTGACTGCCAGTGTACAGTATAGTTAGTTCAGATTTGCTTAATAACACTCTCAGTATAGTTGTTAAGCAAGGAGTGATTATGTGCACCTGTGATCCCAGCACTCTAGGAAGCTAAAATAGAAGCATTGCAGGTTCAACTTTACGTTTTTTTGATGGTACCGGGGATTGAATTTGCGATCTTGTGCTTACAAGGCAGGTAGTGAACCACTGAGCTAAATCCCTGGCCCAGCCAGTTCAACTTTAGCCTGGGCAGTTTAGCGACTTAATGAGACCTTGTCTCAAAATAAAAATTTAAAAAGGGCCATGGATACAGGTCAGTGCCAACACTTTGGGTTCAATCCCTAGAACCAGGAAAAAAAAGCTGGTGAAATTATAGTTGTTTGAAACCATTAACAATTCTGTGGTGGTATTGGTCAGGTTTTTGTTGTTGTTGTTAAATAAGACTCAACAAGTGGCCCTTTCTTCTCTTCTTCTTTTTTTTGAATAGGGGGATTGAACTCAGGACCTTGTGTGTGCAAGGCAGGTGACAGCGCCACTGAGCTAAATCCCCAGCCCTTTAACTTTTCACTTAGTTTACAACTTGAGAATTAGTTGTATTTTTGACAAGCATGTCTCATTCGTATCAGCTTTCAGCAATTTGGGGGAGGTACTGGGGTCGAGCTCAGAACCTTGCTGGTGCCTCTGAACTAAATCCCCAGCCCAGCTTCCAGTAGTTTTTACTGAAATAGCTACGGACATTGACATTTTTTTTGTTTCTAGAGGCAATACATTTGAATTTGGTAGTACTTATTTGGGAAAATTTGTTGGGACAGTGGAGATTTTGGAAGGGAAGACTTGGTAATTCTTAGGGAAAACTTGTGGGTAGGATGTAAAGCCCAGATCTGGAATTGAGAGTGTAGAGTTTTTAGTTTTCACTACCAGTTAGTACCTTCTACTTTAGGGCAGGTCACTCAAGGTCTCTGAACCGCATTTTTATTTTGTTTTTTTGTTTGTTTGTTTTGTTTTGGTTTTGGTTTTTTGAGACAGGGTCTCACTATGTAGTTGAGACTGACCTGGAACTCACTATGTAGCCCAGGGTGGTCTTGAACTCACAGTGATCCTCCTGACTCAGCCTCCTGAGTCCTGGGATTACAGGCATGCACCACCATGCCCGGCTTTAATCTGTGTATTTTAATGTAATTGAGATTATATTGTGCATAACAATTTTTATCCTGCTTTTAACTTAACATTATATCTCCTGTCCAAGTACTAACCAGGCCCACCCTGCTTAGCTTCCATGGTCAGACGAGATCGAGCGTGTTCAGGGTAGTATGGCTGAAGAATTAACATTATATCTTAAGCATCTCTATAGATTACTACATTCTGAATAAAACAGATTTGGAGATTGCATGTTTTAACTGACTTTTTTAAAGTTATATATTTTTTTTTCTTGAGAGGAAGTCTTGTTCTGCTACCCAGACTATGTGGAAAGATCCCCTTGCCTCAGCCTTCCTTAGTAGCGGGAGTACAAGAGTGTGACACTGTGCCTGGCTCCCATTGTTGGTCTTTTAGAAAGTTTTTCCTAAGTAATTCTCTTATAAATAGAACTGACATTATTGCTTTTGGTTATAAATTTTTGTTCTCATTTTGGACTATCTTACCTAGAGTAGAGTAACAAAAATATGGTAACTTTTAAAGCTCTTAATATAGATTTTTAAATTAGATTATTTGATCTAGTCAAAAGTGGCCTGCCAGCCAGTTGCTATGTAAAAAAAGCTAATGCTGGGGATTGAACTGAGAGCCATATGCTAACCAAGTATTCTTTCACCAAGTTGCAACCTCATCCCTTTTTTTTTGTGTTGTTTTTTTGGTACTGTGGATCTAACTCAGGACCTTGTGTTTGAGAGGCACGTGGTGGCACCACTGAGCTAAATCCCAGGCCCTCATCCCCTCTTTTAGTTTTAATTTACAGTAGCTCATGCCATCCCCCTGCCTCAGTCTGGAGGGGCTGGGACTATGGGTGTGCGCCACCATGCCCAATTTGGATTGACGGCATCTTGACAATTGCTCTTGGCTAGTGGCAGTTGTAATAAGTTTGACATTGTTTACAAATACATGTACAGTACTTGGTTTTTATTTCTCCTAGTGGCACAGTAGCCAAATTCAGCGTTTCTGTTCAGCCAACAAATCAATTTATCTAAAAATTCCATTTGTACCTTGTGGAAGCAGAGCACCATCATCAAAATTTGCTGAACAAGTATTCATGCTTGGAAGAAAAATACTAGAGGCTAGAGTACTTCTGAGAAATATTTGTCATCTCATGATATGGAAAAGAATAATGTTGGAGAAAATGTGGATATTGATGACTTGAGTTAGAAAATGAGTCGAGTTGAATTAGAGAGTGAAAAAATTTTAGGAATGCATTTCATTTATGCCACTTGTATTATCCTTTTCACATTTACATGAGAGCCATATGTAATAAAATTCTGTCTAAGGGTCTGTTTCTAGTTGGAATATCAATACATGAGAAAACCTCAAGTCATAGCTTTATTGCCAGCATTGTTTTATTTGTTTTCATAGTATATGAAAAGGTAAATTTTATAATGGATACCATTTTGATTAAATAAAAAGGTATATTGATTCTATTTTTGTTAGCTCTAAACTTTAAACAAATAGTAATTATATAATATTAAACCCAATATTCTTGACTGTAAATAGGGAACTTGGGCTGCAAGTGTAACACAGTGGTTGAATGCTTGCCTAGCAAGTATAAGGCCCTGGGTCCAATCCCCAGCACTGCAAACCAAACAAATCAAAACAAAAACCTGTTTAGCCCTCCTCTGAGAGAAAAGCTTTTTCATTTAGTCATAAATAAATGTGTACCTTCTTTGAATTGGAATTACCCAGTTTTGGAGGAAAAAATAAAAGCAAGGGATAGATTTTTCTTAAGGATGGCAATGGCCAAACAAGATTTCCTGAGGCTAGCTGGGCATGGTGGGGCGCACCTGTAGTCCCAATACTCTTGAGACACTGAGGCAGGAGGATCAAAAATTTAAGCTTAGCCTGGGCCACTTAGTGAGACCATCTCTTAAAAAGGGCTGGGGATATAGTGCAGTGTGAAGAACACCCCTCTGTTCAATTTCCAGCTCTCCCAGCCTCGAGAAAGTAAATTAAAATGTAGAATTATTAGAATATATTGTCTTAGGATTTTTATTACTGTAAGGGAAAAATGTTTTTCCATCTGCTCTGATTTATATACCAATTAACACATTTATTGGCTTATTTTATCCAGACAAGGTCTTTACTGGGTGTGTTTGAAGAAGATGCCACAGCTATTTCCAACTATATGAACCAGTTGTATCAAGCTATGCATCGGATTTATGATGCACAGGTAAAAAAGCTAGGGCTGGGCTGGGGATGTAGTTCAGTGGTGCTGTGCCTGCCTGGCAAGCTCAACGTCCTGGGTTTTATTTCCTGTACACACACACACAAAAAGCTAAGGGCTAACACAGTGCCTGTTTAAGCCCTATGTCTTGTTTACTGGTGCTAGCCCTGCCCTGGGTGATAAATGTTTGTGGAAAGGATGAATGAACATTAAGTATACTGTATTATAGAGTTACATTTCAGTTAGTAGTATATAGTTTATAGCACTACAAAAGTGACAAAATTGAAGCATTTGTCCCTTTTCCCAAACAATAAGGGCTTTCTTGATGAAACTCAGGGATCCTTTTCCTTTCTCAGCAGAGGATTTGAAAGCAGCCTGCCTCTATCCATGTAGTAGAAGGGAATAAAAATACAGCTTTGGGGTATAAGGAGATGAATTTAAGAAGGTTATGACTAGATTTTCTTAGAGAATAGACGCAACACTTGAGTTTGTATCACCTAATTATAAATTTTAACAGCAACCTGGGTTCTATGATACACTTTCTTAGGGATTAATCAAATATACAAGATTGTTTCCTCATTTTCTCTCCTTTTTGGATTGACATTTTCATTATGCACTTAAAAGTGATATGATGAGGGCTGGGGATTTGGCTCAGTGGTTCTGCCGTCTTCCTCACAAGTTTGATCCCCAGTACAAAAAAAAAAAAAAAAAAAAATTGGTATGATGAGCCAGGCACCTGGTGCACACCTATAAGGCTAGCATTGAGGGAGGCTGAGGCAGGAGGATAGAAAATTTGTATCCTTCCTCGGAAACTTAGCAATAACTTTCTTATTTTTTTGGTACTGGGGATGGAACTCGGGACCTTGTGCTTGCAAGGCAGGTGGCAGCACCACTAAGCTAAATCCCCAACCCAGCAAGAACTTTCTTAAAATAAAAAATTTAAAAAAGGTTTTGGAATGTAGCACAGTGCTAGAGCATCCCTGGGTTCTGCCCCTAATACCACCCCCACACAAAAAAAGATAAAAACGTTATGATAATTGGTTTGATTTTTGACTGCAAATATTTAATTAACATATGAAAGAAGTATTTTTTGTTATCACTGTAAAAGAAGCTGAAATGAAAATCTTAAATATGGCTGTGTTATAAGTAAGTCAGCCACATTTTACTTGTTTGTTACTATTTTTGTTTTGTTTTGCATTTTGAGACAGGGTCTCCCTTTGTAGTTCAGGTTGGCCTTGAACTCATTGGGTAGCCCAGGCTGGCCTCAAACAGCAATCCTGCCTCAATCTCTCGAGTGCTGGGATTCCAGGTGGGTGCCACCACACCCAGCTTGGTTGTCTTATTAAATGCTTATGATAGTCTACTATCAGCATCTAGAGAGAGTAACAGTAATCCATCTAGAATCTCTGTAAAGATTTTGTTAAGGTTATGCACAGTTTACTTCTAGCTTTTAAAATATTTAATGCTTAGTTTTTTATTAGCCAAATAACAACAACAGCAAAAAAAAGAACATACCCGGAGCATCACTGAATTCTTTGACATTGCCTCTTATGGTTTGAGTTTCCCTTTGAAATGCTTCAATGGTATTTGCCTTTCCAGTGGTTTAATGAGGATTTAAAAAAAATACTGTTCAATATCTGTCTTACAGTAAATAAAAGTAGTGTAGGTATCTTCAGTTGAAACTTGTCTTAATCAGTAATATTGTGCTAATTTGAATGCCAATTTTTCTCCATAGAATGAATTAAGTGCAGCAACACACCTGACTTCAAAACTTTTAAAAGAATATGAAAAACAGGTACTGTATATTACAGGTTTTAAGAGCATACTTTAACATATGCATTGATACAGTATTTTTATACAGTGGACTTTCTCATCAGGAATCCCAAAGCTTTGGCTGGGTGTGATGGCACATGCTTGTAATCCCAGCATTCTGGGAGGTTGAGGCAGAAGGATTACAGATTTGGAAGTTTGAACCCAATCTGGGCAATTTAGTGACCTGTCTCAAAATAAATTTTAAAAGGGCTGGGGATGTAACCCAGTGTGAAGGATCTGGGTGAATTCCCTAGTACTACCAAAAAAAAAAAATGCCATTGAAATATTATAATAAGATAGTTTTAATGATTTTATGTTAGATGCAGAGGTTATCTTGTTTATTTTCTCTTTATACGTGAAGATAAGGAGATGAATTTAAGGCTTGCTTAAGGTTAGATGGTTAGTTATTAGAGGACCTGGAGCTAAACACAAAATGTTTGAACTCCCAGTATTATGTGTGTTGTACTATACTGTGTTAATTGGTTATTTAGCAAACATTTAAATTAGTATTCATTGATTATTAAAATTATTGTCACTTTTGGAGCTTATTCAAAATTTTAGTTTTCTGAAATTACTAAAAATGTAAAATGTGATGTTATTCACAAAATTCATACAATGTTGTACTTTTATCTCATTTCTTTCAGCGTTTTCCTTTGGGGGGTGATGATGAAGTTATGAGCTCTACTTTACAACAGTTTTCAAAAGTTATAGATGAGGTAAATGTTTAGTTTCCTTAAATTAGTGTTTTCATAATTGTTACTCTAATTATTAAGTTTTAATTGGGAACTTTTATTATAATTGAAGGAATAAAACTTTATTACAAAGACTGCTAAAGAAGGGTCTTATTTCTTCATGCTGGTTGCTGTCTTATAAAAATAACACTTTCTCAGGGGCTGGGAATGTAGCTCAGTAGTTCTGCTGCCTGCCTCATAAGCTCAAAGACCTGAGTTCAATCCCTGGTACAGAAGGTGGGGTCGGGGGAAATGGCCCTGGTCATGCTATGGGCTGGGGATTAAAAAAAAAGAACAACGCTTTCTTTATCTGTTAAAACATTGTTTTCCAGGAGTAAGCTTAGAGATGGGCTTTCTCTGTTCCCACCCCATGTATCATTCATTGTGTCATTTGACGTGGGCAGGGAAAGAGGGCTGAAGCTGTGAGCCATAGCTAAGCCCTCTGTGGTTTTTCTTTTGCTGTGAAGTTGCATTTACTATTTAGTTATTATTATTAATTTCATTATTTTTATTAAATTACTTTGGAAAATATATTGTAAATGCTTGTTCTTCAGCTTTAAAACTCTGTAAGAACAAGGACCGGGAATTTAGCTCAGTGGTTCCACTGCCTGCTTCGCAAGCTCAAGGACCCTAGTTTGATTGCCAGTACCAAAACCAAAACCAAAAAAACTCTATAAGAACAAGAAGTAACCATTATTAGTGTTTTGTTTTGTTTGGGTTTTTTTTTGGTACCAGGGATCAAACTCAGGACCTTGCACTTGGTCAGGCAGGCACAGTGCCACTGAGCTAAATCCCTTGCTCTAAGAAGTGACTATTATTAACTGTCTTTACAACATGCTGTAGTGAACTGCCTTACTGACCATTTCTTTAATTTTTGTGACTACAAAAGTGGGAATAGAAGGAAGGAAGGATAATTAAGTATAATAAACATTGAAGACATTGAAAAACACGTGCATAAGAAAAGCCAAAGTAAATTTACCTTCCCCCTGGGTATCAAACTCAGGACCTTGCACATGCAAGGCAGGAGCAGTGCCACTGAGCTAAATCCCTGGCTTGCAAATTTACATTTTTATACTGTCCAGTCCTTATTAATCCTTCCATCCCAAACAGCAAAATCAACCTTTAATTTCTTAAACCATTTGTCATAGCAAATCATTAAAAAACAAAACTGGAAGCTAGTAGTGAGAAATGTATTGAGAATCTTAACTATCTCAACTGTTTCAGTGAATGTTCTATTTTGACATGAACCACTAAATACTGTCTTTTGTAGTTCTCTTAACTGGATATATGTGCATGCTAGGCAAGTAACCCACCACTGGCCTATTACCCACAGGGTAATTTTTAAAATATTTTATTAATTCATTGTAACAGATTATGATAAATACATATAAATTTGCCAGTCATGAAACTTATTATGATCATAGTATTGTGCAGCCCTCACAGCTCTCTAGTTCCAGAAGATTTTCATTGTCCTAAGGAAAACTGTCTGCCTTTAAAATAGTTATTTTCATCTTCATGCTCACTCTGGTTCCTGGCAACCACTAAAAAACTTTCTGTGTCTATAGATTTTCCAGTTTTGTGTATTTAATATAAATGGACCCATATAGCTTGTGGACTTTTGTGTCTGTCTTTTTTTACTTAGCATGTATTCAGGATTTATCTGTGTTATGAGTCAGCATTTCATCCCCACCACCTTTTTTTTGCTGACTAAAAATTCCATCATAGAGATATACCACATTTTTTTTTCTTTTGGTACCAAGGATTGAACTCAAGACCTTTTGCTTGTGAGGCATGCACGGTGGTGCCACTGAGCTAAATCCCTGGCTTTACCACATTTTGTTTATCCATTTATTATGGACAGTTGAGTTTCCACGTTTTGGCTAATGTGAAATAGTACAGCATTCATATACACCTTTGTTTTATTGAAAACAAGTTTTCAGTTCTTTTGGGTACCTACTCAGGAGTGGAATTGCTTGATCGTATGGTACTTTATGTTTAACTTTTTTATTATTATTTTTTTAAAACACAGGGTATTATTGTATAGTTCAGGCTGGACTTGAACTCACTGTAGCCCAGGCTGGCCTGAACTCTCATTGATCTCCCTGCCTTAGCCTCCTGATTGCTGGGATTACCAGCATGCACCATTGTACCCAGATATGTTTAACTTTTTGAGGATACACTACACTGTTTTCTATATTGCTCATACTATTTATTTATCTATTTATTTATTTATTTTTTTGAGACAGGGTCTCACTGTGTAGTTGAGACTGATCTGGAACTCATTATTTAATCCAGGCCGGTCTCAAACTCACAGCCATCTTCCTGCTTCAGCCTCCTGAGTGCTGGGATCCTGGCCGCTCACACCATTTATATTCTTTTCAGCAAGGAACAAGGTTCTACCTTTACTACATCCTTGTTCTTAACAACTTTTTTTTTTCTAGAACTGGGGATTGAACTCAGGGTCTTCATACTGAGGTACTCCAGACCATTTTATTATTTTTAGTTTGAGACTGGGTCTCACTAAGTTGCCCAGGCTGGGCTTGAACTTTCAAACTTGCAATCCTTCTCCTTCAGCTTCATGGAGTGCTAGGATTATAGGTGTGTACCACTGCACACAGCTTTTTGTCCATTTTTTAATTGAGTTATTTGTCTTGTAGAAGTTCTTTATTCTAAGTGTAATCTGTGGTATGTCATTGGCAAATATTTTATTCCATTATGTGGGCTAGCTTCTCTTTTTTTGATAGCATCATTTGATGCACATTTTTAATCTTGATGAAGCCCTATTTATATTTTCTTTTGTTCCTTGTGCTTTTGTTATAGCTAAGAATTCGTTGCCAAGTCCAGGATCTTTCTAAGTTTAGGAATTTTAAGTGAAAAATTTTGACTGTATAATATTTTGTACTATATCAAATTTTTTAGTATTTTCTTATGTAAAATATATCAGCCTGTTAAAGTAGTTTTGCTTCATTTACATAAGACTGGTTAAATGTCTCTATAGACATTTGTTATAAATGTTAATCTGTTAGTTATTTGGCCTTTTTGGTCTTTTTTTTTAACTAGCTTAGCTCTTGTCATGCGGTACTTTCAACTCAGCTTGCTGATGCCATGATGTTCCCCATTACCCAGTTTAAAGAAAGAGATCTTAAAGGTATTGAAGTCAAGCTTATGTTTTTCATCGGTTGTCAGATCAGTGCTTGTAAAATGTATATTATTCTGTACCTAAACCATTTCTGACCATAACCTCTGCCACTTTTACTTAAATTGGTCACCATACATTTATAGGAGCTCTTGATAGGTATTGAACCTAGATACTGATGAATACTGATAAGAAATTCCTTCCTTTTCGAAATCCTAGAGGAGATGGACAAACACATCATTATGATACTATGCCTTTTATAATTAGGGAATGAGAAAGTGCTGTAGGGCTCGGGAGGGTCAGAAAGAATTCATGAAAGATGTGAACATTGAACAGTGGGGAGGAATTTGCCAGGAAAAGTGAGTCATTGTTTTGTTAGAGGGACTAGCATGCACAAAGGTATGTGTTCTAGAAATACTTAGCTTGTTTTTGTTTTGTTTTGTTTTTTTGGTACCGGGGATCAAACTCAGGACCTGGTGCTTCCAAGGCAGGCGGCGGCACCACTGAGCTAAATCCCCGGCCCAATACTTAGCTTATTTTGAGGATAATAAGAAATTCAGTGTGGCTGCAGTGTTGGAGATACAGTATTGGGGTAAAGTAGGAGATAATTTAAAAATAGATTAGATCATGCTAAAAATGTTGAGCTTGAGGTTATGAGCACAGAGAAATGCCAGTGGAAGTACTTAAGGAATAAAGAGAGATAATGTTTTTGTTTTTTGGAGAAAGAAATAGAGTAGATTTGGTGTCTAAGAGATGGAACTAAGAAGTGTGAGTCCAGTGATGCATGACCAAGGCCTAGGTTGGGATAGTGGAACAGTGTAGAGATTTGTTTAGGCTAGGGTCATGGGAAAAGTACGGAGCCAGCATCCTAAAGACTGAGTGACTTCATAGTTTGTGGATTTTTTGCCCATTTACTGTTTCTAGGCGATAAAATGAGGATTTCATAGAGTTGGATCTTTTTCATAATTTATAAATTTAGTCATATAGACTTATTTCTAAAATATATAGCCAGAATAAAAACAACTAATAATGTATCAGTCATTTGCAAAAAAGCATACATGAAATAAAGACAAATGTACTGCTGAGATGGAGTAAATAATTGTAATGATCCTTAAGAATGATCATTTCCAGGCTGGGGATTTAGTTCAGTGGTTCTACTGCCTGCCTCACAAGCGCAAGGTTCTGAGTTCGACCCCCAGTACCAAAAAAGAAAAAAAATATGATTATTTCCAAGGTCAAGAAACAATTTTTTGCTAGGCATGGTGGTGCATTCCTGTAATCCCAGCACTTGGGAGGCTGAGGCAGGAGGATCGCTGTGAGTTCGAGACCAGCCTGGGCTACATAGTGAATTGTAGGTCCATCTCAGCTACATAGTGAGACCTTGTGTAAAAAAACCAAAAAAAAAAAAAAAAAAATAGTTTTTTTCTCCATGATATAAGGGGACCGATTGGCCTAATCTTATTAATAAAATGTGCTTTTTTCCCATTCAACATTTGAAGTTATTAAAGCCTTATGTCAAAAAATGAATTAATAAGCACTAAGAATATTTGCATGTTGTAATACAACAGTGGGTTTAAAACTTATTTTGTGTCATATTACTTGTATTGAGTAGATTTTTTAGTGATGTAATAGTTGCCAGTAAGATTAAATGTTTTATAGACTAGCGGGCAGGTATAGTAACTTTGAGTGGAAGTATAAAATATTTAGTTTTAATTGTAGTTTTAGTGGCATTTATTGCTTTGTAAACTTTAAACTATTTAATAAATTTGCTAAACAGAAATTATTCTCGAACTTTTTCAGAAATCCTAACATTAAAAGAAGTGTTTCAGATTGCTAGTAATGGTAAGCCCTGAATACTTTATATACTTATTTTTTATTGATGCATTTATCAGTATACAGCTTTGTTGATTCTTTGTAATAATTGAAAAAAAACTAATTAAAAGCTTTAGTGAATATTATTTAAATCAGTATTACTTGAATACTGTGTTTACAAGAAAAATTTTAAAGTTTTATTGAATCAGTCTTCTAGTTTGTTATTTTCATAACGTCTAAAGAGGTAGTATAATATGTTACCTTCCTTATTTTCCTGTGTATTCCAATTTTTATTTAACGAACATTTGTAATTTTTGGACTAAACATACTTTAAAAAACTTAGTGGATTATAGTTTCCTTGGAATCAATTGTTTTTATTTACCAGTTTGATAGACACATAATTTAGTGGAAACTTGGCTGTGGGGAAATTTGAATATGATGATCATGTGGTAGGGAATTCTTGTACATTTTCAGAAAGATGCATGTGTTCAGAACATTTAGAGCATTTATAAGTTTTGCAGAGTACTGTCGGATGGTTGTCAGCACTCATTTCTGCCTTCTAGATCATGATGCTGCAATTAACAGATACAGCCGATTGTCTAAAAAAAGAGAAAATGACAAGGTAGGGAACATACATACTCCCTCACAATTAATACTGTTTCCTTTGGTGGTCTAGTCTTCCCTGTTTAAAAATAGACCAGCAGTTTACGTGTATATTTTGCTGGGTTTTTTTGTTTTGTTTTTGTTTGTTTGTTTTTGTTACCAGGGATTGAACTCAGGACCTTGTGCTTGCGAGGTAGGCGGTGGCACCACTGAGCTAAATGCCTGGCCCCAAAATAAATAACTAAATAAACAAACAAATTAAATGCAATACAGCAAAACAGGATATAACTCCATGGTGCCGTGTTTTAAAATGTTTTCTAAAAACTTAAAACAAAAAAGAAAGAAAGAAATCTATTCTTTTTTTAAGAATAAACCATTTTATTTTTTAATTTTAAAGTTTTTTGTGTTTACTTTATTCTTAACTGCTGGTGGATTAAAACCTTTTTAATAATTGTTGGTCCCTTTAAACAAAATACTTTTCTTCTGCCGGAATTTGTTCTTATAATTGAACATAGCTATTCTAAAAAATAGAATTGATGCCCAGTATCTTATTTACTGATGCCTCTTATTTATTGATGTCTAGTATCATACTGCCTCTCTTTGCTTTGCTTTGCATTTTTGTTTTGTTTTTCTTTTTTGGTACCAGGGATCAAACTCAGGACCTTGCTCTTGCGAGGCAGGCAGAACCACTGACCGAAATCGCTGGTCTTTATGCTTTGTACTTTGATAGCATTGGATGCGTTGTTTTTATTTGTCCATATATGTACTCAGAAATGTCTTGTATAATACAAAGTTGAATTGTTACATACTCAATTCAAAGAAATTCTTTTTTGAAGCCCTCTTCATTTAAAGGGCTGTCTTTTTTGATACTTCAGGAGTGAAGTCCAGATATATTTTACTGTATTTGAGGAGAAATGTATTCAAGTAAAGATTAAAGAACAGAATATTAACAGGTTCATCTGGGTGTTTCTTAAGATCAAGTTTTCCTTCAGTGCCTAATCCAGGGCTTGCTGTCTAGGTCTTCCTAGATGCTGAGAGTGAGGTGATCTCTGTGCCTAGGACTTGGTGTGTCTGTAGCCTTGGTTGCTGCCACCAGTAGAAACACAGTGAGTGCCTGTGGGAAGCCATGCAGCACAGTAGTTACTGTGCATCAGCCACTGTGATGATGAATGGGAATGTCCAAAGATAAACTGCTTGATGGTGCAGATACTGATAAAATATGCACATTTGAGATCTAATTTAGTGATTTTGCTTTAGAAAAGTAGTTAAACACCCTAAGGCATATTTGAGAGGCGCTGAGTTTGATTCCTGGTACCAAAAAAAAAAATTGGCATATTTTACTTTGCCTCTGGTTGTTCCAAGTCTTCTTAAAAAACATTCTTTCACCATTTTTTTATGTAGAAAATTTGTTGAGCACCTGCTTTATATCTAACAGTATGTTGAAGGAACAGTATGAGTAGGTTCAACTCCTGCCCAGAAGTAGATACTCCATCCTTATTGGAGGCTTTTGTGTAAATGTATATGATGTGTAAGTGGCCGAGCACAAGAGTGAAGAGAAGGTATGGACTAACATGAATTAGGTGCACAAATAGAAGTTTTACTAAAATGTTAAAAGCATAGACGGGCTTTGATCAATAAATTGGGAGATACTGTGCTTTTACAAGGTGCCATTTGCCCTGAAGATAAGTGGACATCATTGATGAGGTTCGAATTAGCCTACGCAGAGGCAGGCGTATGACTGACGGAGCTGGAGGATGTAAAGGTTGGAAGCGCTTGCCCTGGAGTTAGACTGGGAACAAATCTCAGCTCTGCCACTAATTTGCCTGAAGTCGTGTACTTCTACTTAATTTCAAATCTTTGTTTTCTTACTAAAAAAACCCCAAAAAAACCACAGTATTTTGTCAAGATGAAGTTGGGCGATATATGCAAAGTATCTGTCTTATAGTGAATTTTCACTAAATTCTAGCCATAATTATTTTGGTGATGATTAAAAATAATCATTCCAGTGTGTCTGAAGCATTGGGAGATGTAGCAGAAATGTCAGTAGAGAAGTAATTGAGGCCAGATTACCGTATTAATGACCTGGAAATTTGTGTTAGGGGAAATGAGCAGCCACCAAAGGATTCTAAGTCAGTAAATGATACCGTGTAGTTACGCTGTAGAACAGAAACACTAATAAAAATGAGAAGAGACCAAGACCAAAGAGAATCCAGTGAAAAGATTTTGGAATAGTTTGCAAAGACATGAAAAGGTCTCAAATAATGTTATTATTATTATTATTATTTGAGATAGGATCTCACTATGTAGTTCAGGCTGGCTTTGAACTCATTATGTAGCCCAGACTGGTCTCAAACTCACAGTGATCCTCTTGCCTCAGCTTCTCAAATAATGTTACTGAAAGAAGAGAGGAAGGAGTACTTTTTACAGTACTATGGATTGACCCCAGGGGAGTTCTACTACTGAGATAGCCTATTTAGTTTTTATTTTTATTTACAAATTTTTATTATTTAAAAAAATTTTTTATTAAAAAAAACTTTTTTTTTTTTTTTGGTACTACAGATTGAACTCAAGACCTTACACTTGCCAGACAAGTGCTAGGCCATTAAGCTAAATGAAAATCCTTGGCCTATTTTTTTAAAAATTTTGTATTAAAATTTTTTTTTTTTAAAAAAAACTTTTTTTTTTTTTTTTTGGTACTACAGATTGAACTCAAGACCTTACACTTGCCAGACAAGTGCTGTGCCATTAAGCTAAATGTAAATCCTTGGCCTATATTTTTAAAAATTTTTTATTAAAATTTCTTTTTTTCCAAACAGGGTCTTCTTCCTTGCAATTCAGGCCAGGGGCTGGGGATTTAGCTCAGTGGTTCTACCTCCTGCCTTACAAATGCAAGCACCCAAGTTTGATCCCCGGTACCAAAAAAAGAATGTAATTCAGGCTAGCCTTGAATGCCAGCAATCCTCCTGCCTCACCCTTCTGAGTGCTAGGATTACAGGTGTGTGCCACTGTCCCTGGCTTTTTTATTTTGAAGTAGGATCTTACTAAGTTGTAGGCTGGCCTTGAACTTTCAGTCCTTCTGCCTCAGTCTCCCTCATAGCTGAGATTAAAGGTGTGTGTCACCACTTCTGGCTGGGAGATACTTCATAAGTAAAGGTTTTTGGTTAGGGGGAATAAAAAGTGAATGTTAGAATCTTTGGATAACTGGTGATTCCTGAAGTAATTAAGAGCTACGAAATAAAATAGAAGAGCAAGTTTTTTGGAAAGAGACAATATTGTCTTCTGGTCTGTAAATTTCTAGTACATAAACACGTATCTCTCTCTTTGTCTGACACACACTCACACACACACACACACACACACACTCACACACACACACGTTACATCCAGCTGTAGATCTGTTTCCTCTGGTACTTGACAGTGAGGGCAGGAGATAAAAATTTGTGATCAGCGAGTCATTGGTATATTGGAGTATTTTTGGTGCTTGATCAGGTATTCCAAGAGAAGAAGAGAGAAAAACCTCATGCATATTATATAATAAGTGTTTAATAGGGTTGGGGATTTAGCTCAGTGGTGCTACTGCCTGCCTCACAAGCCCAAGGTTCCAAGTTTGATCCTTAGTACCAAAAACAAACAAGCAAGCAAACAAAAAATAAGTGTTTAATAAATACCTATTGTCTCAATAAAAGAACATAGAACACATATTTTAAGAATGAGTGAAGGAGGCCGGGCGTGGTGGCTCACGCCTGTAATCCCAGCACTCGGGAGGCTGAGGCAGGAGGATCACTATGAGTTCGAGACCAGCCTGGATGAGATAGTGAATTCTAGGTCAGTCTCAACTACATAGTGAGACCCTGTCTCAAAAAACCAAAACCAAACAAAACAAAGAAACCAAAATAAAAATGCGGTTGTTCAGAGACCTTGAGTGACCTGCCCTAAAGTAGAAGGTACTAACTGGTAGTGAAAACTAAAAACTCTACACTCTCAATTCCAGATCTGGGTTTTACATCCTACCCACAAGTTTTCCCTAAGAATTACCAAGTCTTCCCTTCCGAAATCTCCACTGTCCCAACAAATTTTCCCAAATAAGTACTACCAAATTCAAATGTATTGCCTCTAGAAACAAAAAAATGTCGATGTCCGTAGCTATTTCAGTAAAAAGTACTGAAAGCTGGGCTGGGGATTTAGCTCAGAGGCACCAGCAAGGTTCTGAGCTCGACCCCAGTACCTCCCCCAAATTGCTGAAAGCTGATACGAATGAGACATGCTTGTCAAAAATACAACTAATTCTCAAGTTGTAAACTAAGTGAAAAGTTAAAGGGCTGGGGATTTAGCTCAGTGGTGCTGTCACCTGCCTTGCACACACAAGGTCCTGAGTTCAATCCCCC